ATCTCTACAAAAACAAAGAAACTACACTGTGTTGCAGATCTCAGGAGGCTTCTCAATATCTTGCTTTAATTACTGATTGTCCTTTAAACATCTCATGAATAGTATCAAAAACATCAGATTAGAATAAAATTTAGTCAACAAGATGAGGGTTCTCAAGCACCACTACATGATAAGTGAGATATGCACAGTGGGGTACCCTAGACAGTGAATCCAGAAAAATCAAAACCAGACTGAGCAAGGAAACCTGTGTAGAAAAATGGAAACTACACTGTGGGAATTCAAGAATACCCCAACTCCTCGAGCAGAGCCCAAAAGTAAGCTATTTGGAAGACAGAAATTAAATGCTTCACTTGCTTATGTTTCTCAACAATCAAGGGTTTTCCCACAAACTGTATACAGTAGAACCCACCTCTTCCTATATTTGAGAAGTCTGAAGAGTTTAGTTCAATAGACATTCCCAAAGGTAGTTGTTTGGACATAATGTATGCAACTCATAGCAATTCTTAAGAAACTAACCCGAAATTCAACATGACATAATCTACAAATTGGGAGACATAAATAACATTTTTTACTTTAAACTTCAATTATAACAAAATCATGTGTGCATGTGTGTGTGTAGTAAATCAAATGTGCCAGAAAAATCAATTAATTGAATCTCCACTTATTTTTGAGAAGTATGTCATGTCGAACAAAATCCAGCAGCTGATCCTCATTGCCTTTGAAATAGACTTTTACTTCCAAAACAGTCACTGAATTATTTTAGCAACCTCATTCTGCTCTAGTTTCTGTATGGGTAAGGGTTAACCTTGTGGGTGATGTTTTACTGAGAATGATGGAAATGTCAAGGAACAACTTCTCCATTGAGGTCAAGGATGACTTGACTGACCAACATCTTGGTGTGGAAGCAAAACGCTGCCTGGCTGGCACATCATTTTTCTATGGGAAGGCAGGAACTGCAGTCGTTTGCCTATTATTCCTCTCATACAAATAACCTTTGGATTTCTAATTAAGTCTACAGAAGAACTACCATTTTGAAAAGTTTTTAAATAAAATCTTAAAGAGGATAAAAAGAAACTATGCCTACTAACAAGTTGTAGGATGAAAACTCCAATTCTGCTGTGATATAGCAAATGCATTTGGTTTACACTACATTTGGGAAATAATGAAAACCAATTTTGACACAGTACAGATTTTTAAATCAAGAAATGAGAAATCTCTAAATCAAAATTTAGATGGAAATAAATACCAGATGACAGTAACAGTCTGATATGAAAATACATCTCAAATTGAATTTTCTTCTCCCTTTACTCATTTAAAAAGTAGTTCCAGTAGCTTTAATAACCTTCTATTTTTAAACTCCATTGGGCAATTTTTTTTTTACTGTAAAAGAACATTTTAAAGTGCTTTGTGCTTCAAATATTTTAGTGGTAACTAAAATTAAAGGGAGATGCTAAAACAATGTCAAATCCTACTCTAAAAATAGTACCTACATTTCAGTCTGGCATCTGAAAAATGACACCCAATATGCCCACACCAAATACAGTGACAAGCTAGCAGACTTCAAGTGTAGACAAAAACACTCTGAATACAGCAAAACATGCTTGCTCTTAGATTTCACATCTTACTATTGCGGTGATGAAGTTTAAGTAAAATGAAGTTTGGAAGTGAAGAGGGTTTTCACTGGACTTTTTTTTTTTTTCCAGTAACAAGTACTTTTGGCCAGAAGACCCTAAGCACAATTTCACAGGACAGATCATGCACAGCTTGCAAGTCAAACATTTTACAGCTACTGTCTAATTATTCTTTTTGGACAATAGATTCACATGCAGCTAATGTTCCCAGAAAAGGAGCTTAATAAAGCAGTGTTTAAGTTTCACCAATTATTCCTTGGTCCAAAGTATCAATAACTCCAAAGCGCAATATATGAATGTTTACTGTAGTGCTTGATCACATACCTTTCAAGCCCAGAAAGAAAGCTTTCTTTTTGCCAACTGCATGTTATTAGCCCACAAACTCTCTCCTTAGCCTCACTGTTACATTACAAACACCTTATCCAGTAGCCAATGTGGTAGCCATTAGCCATGAGGGACTATTTAAATTACTTAAATAAAATGTAGACACCAGCTTATTAGCCATATTGCCCCCACTTTAATTCCCTAAGAGCCAATGTGACGTGTGACTATGATATTGGACAGCACAGGTTATAGAATATTTATAGCATTCCAGAAAGTTCTATTGAACAACACTGATCTAATAATCCCAAGGGCTGCACCAGTAAACAGTTGAATTTCTAAGGAACCCACTCTGTAAGTCATGCACAAGAATAAACTTGATTTTATTTTTAAAGAAAATACCTTACAGCTTTCTGATCTTGAAGTATAATTGGAACTCAGAGCCAATTTGATTTTCATCACAACTTATAGCCCCAGGTTATTATACAAAATTTTTCCAAAGACAATACTTTTGGAGGGCACATGTGGCTCTACTTAACATGTTAAGCATTCTCTTGCTTATGTCAAGATCATTAACAAGGATGAAAATTCATGCTTCATATAGTTTACTATTTACATAACACTCATTGTCTCTAAATTATGGGGAAGAAGGTGGACCAATATTTTTCAATCTTAAAAATTCCAATCACATAGTTTGATAGTTTTCTTTCATTGTCTAACTGATCCCTAACTCAACCTCCATTCACTACCCAGAGAGATAGCTAACTAAAATAAAGAAATACACCTACAAAACAACCCTTAGAGCAACAGTTGAAATAACAAAAGACAGTCATCAGCCCTGAAAAAAATTATAGTGAGACAGAGATGCCAGTGGATCTAGGAAGGAGCAGGAGGGCACATCAATGCATGGTTCTTATCCCATCTTACAACAGAATTATTACAAACTTCCACACTCCTCACTGGCCTCTGTGGACTCATCTACAAAAATGAAGCCAGCAGAGGCTATCCGCAGCTCTAACATCTTGTGCTTTTCAGTTGTGACTTTTCACTCATATGCAACTATGAATTCTGGCCATTTGTGTCTCTGGACTTTTGTCACATGGGATAGATAGGTTGTTAGTCTTGTGGATACATGCCAGATGAGGCCAGAGCAACGGGATGCCAAATAACATCAAAACATCATTAAGCATGTAAAAGCATTCTATCTGGAAGGCTGAAACAGCTCCCTCCCTCTCTCCCTCTCTCTCTCCCTCCCTCTCTTCCCTCCCTCTCTCCCTCCCTCCTCCTCCTCCTCCTCCACCACCACCACCACCACACACATACACACAAACACACACACACACACACACACACAAATGCACATCTTGAAGAGCAAACTGCAAGCAGAATCCACTTAAACAATTTAAATAATGTTTCTCACATCAGTAAGACTTGCACAGAAAATTCTGGTTTAGGTTGTTATTGTTAAGTTATTGTAAGGTCAGGAATCTACCAGAGAGCCATTAATTTTGCACTGCTTAATGGGCAGCTCTAGCATGGGGTTGTTTTAACTAAAAATTCAGTGGACATATTTACTCTACAGCTTTGCACTAAGAAACACAGGACGTTGTTTCATCACACACATTAGTGTCTATATATAACCTACTAAACAAGTAGAACTCTTATCACATACTATGCTACAGGATTGATCATTTCATACTGTACATAAATGTATGCAGCTATCATTCACAAAATTAACTTGAATATGATATTGATTAAAATTGCAAAGTCTGTCTGAAATGTGGCATTCTTAATGCAACATTTCTCTGTATGTTTTTTTCCTCCAAGAGACATAGAAATTAGGTCAGACATGCATTGCAGCAGCCTGGGAGTTGATAAATTGACACTAACCCAATGGTATATTATGTTATGTAATAGAGGATAGAATTCAGCTAATATACCTAAATTATTAATACCAAATAAATCCTAGATCATTTGTTGTATAATGCCCAATAGATTACACAATAAAATTGCACTTTAACCTAATTTCTAGTTTCAGCTTTCAAATACATTTTCTAAAGGTCTTATGACATTTGAAAGATTTGAAATACCAGAGTCCATAATTTAAATTGAATTTTCATGCCAATTACGTTTTAGCTTTGTATCCTTGGTTTTTTGTTTGTTTGTTTGTTTTCACACTAATTCCATCAGTTTAGTATGCATAGTTTGTGCTGTGTAAAGATAATAGCATATAAATAAATTAGGTTGTCTCAGTCTTACAGGGCTATTTTCTAACACTGCTCTTTGGAACTAGTCACCACTTATATTTCCCTTATTCCCCCAACCATCACCACCTTTGCCACCATTTTCAGGGGTTCAGTGAAATCTAACATATATTCATGTGAGTGGAGTCTTTGACACACAACACTTGCTTCCTAAATTTCACAAAAGGAATCAGAGTAACCTAGAAAGGTCACAGCTATTTCTGAATGCATACACACCCAGGGATGGGAATTTACCATTTACCACTAGCAGGTCTTTCTCCATGAGCATCAATATACCACCAACCATTTAAGAACAGCTGAGCATTCATGAAGAACGGGTCCACTTACATTGGAATGTGCGTTGTTAGTATACTTTGTCACTTTTCTTAATAAAAACATATTTTGAAATACAAAAGATGTCACTTTATAGCAACAAGAGGAAACGAGAATTCAAAAACATTTAACTGTCTTGGAACATCCTTGAAAAATAACCGCAGACTGTCTATGAAAACGCCCGTCCGGGTTTGCTATTGGTTAACAGCCCTCATGGATTTGACAATACCCAACACTGAGAGAAAAGACAAGTTCTTCTCTTACTTTTCATTGGTCCCTAACAACATACAGAACTTTACATAAAGCAGAGGAGTGAATGTTGGAGGTGACATGGAAGAAACGCCTCACTGGGAGAACAGGTGCCCACGAGGTGCCCACCGTGACTCATTCACACCCATGAGGTCTTACTCCAGGGACTCTTACAAACAGACCCAAACCCTGAGGTAAATCAAATTACACACACAAACACACATATCCACAAATACATAATATTTACATTTTAAATTCTTATTTTGGGAGATGGCTTGAGAAAAATTGGCATACAGGTTTCCTGTGGGATTCAGGCATTTCTCATTATTTCTCAGTTTATTGCTCCCCTGTTGGGCTTTCCATTTAATAAACATGTAGCGAGCTCTAATCACAAGTGAAGGAAAAGGAAGGTACATGACAAAATACAACACACTAGAGACACTTGTTCAAATATTTTCTCCGAGAACACGACAGTCTGTTTCACTTATTTTGATTTGGATGCCATTCAAAATGTATATAAAGCCTTAGCAACTAAATGAAGACTGGGTTTCGTTTAAAAAACAAAAAGCAAAGAAGCCAGGACTGTATGTCTTCACTGAATTTTCACAAGGATTCGAGGTTTAACTCTACTTGTATAAACAGCATCTCTGTTTTAATCTACTGCTTTAAGAGATCACATTGGTACGCACGTGTACTGCTGAAGGTCTAAGTAGAATATGTCTATCTCGTACATGATCTTGAAAAATCATAAATTACAGCCCATTTAATACATGATTATGAGGACGCATGCAATCATCTTCAAAGCTGTTGCCATCAATTCTCAGGACAATTCTCCCGGTATCTTGTTGAGACCTCACCTTCTGCCCTTGGCGTCTGTCTTCGGGCGAATCAAGTGGCAACCCAGAGGCCAGTGCTTGGCACCAAATGGTCAGTGTCATCCCCCACCTTCTCAGCCGGGATCCCATCACCAACACCTGCTCAACCCCTAAGTTGGTACCCACAGAGCCTCCCCTGCACCCCACATCAGCCACAGGATATCACAGTGAAGCGCTTAGAAATGCAAGACATGTTGTGGAGCACGATGCCGAGGAGGAAGACCAAGACGCAGGCCACCAGGATGACAGTGCACACACCAGACCAGGTGGAGCTTTTCACCACGCCCCGCCTATCTGGCTCCTCCTCCACCACCTCCTGGGGAGCCCCACCTTGCAGGGGCTGCTGTTCAGCAGGGATGGTCACCACAGTGACAGACTTCTGCTGGCTCCCGGGCAGCAGGCGGCAGCCCACGTCTCCAGGCAGCAGTGTGCGCTCCTTAGAGATGGGCAGGGGCAGCATATAGCACCCATTGCTGGGAAGTTTTATGAAAACAGGGGTGTGCTCAGAAGTGTGCGGAATGGCGATCACGGCCAGGACCTCGGGGTCATCTGGGAGCTGGGACACGGAGAAGCCTGGGGGCAGCTTGGTGATGCCTCGACACCAGGGGCACCTCACGTCCTTCTGGCTCGTCCTCATCTGCTGGAGGCACACTGAGCAGCAGGTGTGTTTGCAGTCCAGCAACTTGGGCCTTCGCCGCGGGCTGTAGTAATTGAAACAGATCTGACATTCCAGCAAAGAGTCCTGGGAGAGCGTCTCCATCGTGGACCTTGAGCAGGAAGGGCAAGGCCAAGACCAAAGGACAGGAGCTGGTTCTCAGAGGCCACCACTCCGTGTCTTTCTGATGTCGTCTTTCTGATGTCAGGAGGGGACCATGGAGTTCACAGGTATTTAGCGCTGGCAGGTGTGTTCATGTCTGAGGGAGATAAATAATGCAAAAAAGTAATTAATTCAAAGAAGTTGCAATGCCAGTATACTTAGATTTGTATCACAGCTCCAAAGTCCAGCCTGCGTCACAAGCATAAAAGTCTCCCACTGATGAGACACAGATTCCTGTAATGGCCAGTGGAAGGTAAAGAAAAGTTTTCAGACCACATGTCAAAACACTCCTTTCTAAAGAAATGGGTACCACCAACAGCTGTAAATAATGCCCCCTTATTTCATAAAGAGAGAGTCTTGTTTCATTACGTACATTTCAGTGGACCCTGGACGTCCTAAAACACACTGGAGAAACACTCTCACTTCCATTGTATTTGCAGCATTCCCTAGAAGTACATTTCTTTCCATGGATCATCTGACTCTTTTCTGCCTCTCCTTACTCCCCGATTTTATTTCCCAAATTCAGGTGCCTTCACAAACCTAGATGTTTGCTGCTTAACTGGCTTATTCACTGTGTAAAGCTTAGGCTTATTTGTTTCTCACAAATAAGCAATTAAAATGACACCATAAGCAGTACACAAAGTCATCTTTTTATCTTTTCCACTAAATCACTAAAACCAATAATTCTTATCAATTGTTTTGAAAGAGACAAAAACAGAACAAAACAAAAAACCACCACCAACAAAAACAACACAGCAATGATCTAAAGGGGGTAGGCACGACAAAGGCACACTAATCACAAAGCTGCCACTGATGTTTTCTAGTGGGTCCCTTTAATCTCATTACTACTTAGGCTTGCGCCAAGAAACATGGCTGCTTAAATATTTATTGTTGTTGTTGTCAGCGCTGGGGAGCCAGCCTATGCTCTCACATATTATAAGGAAGTGCTCTACCACTGAACTGCATTCTTAACTCCTAAAAGCAAAATACTATTAACTCCCTGATCATAATGAAATACTATATAATGAAAATACAGATGACTGGCAGGTTTGAAGAAAAATATAAAACTATGAAGAAAAATAAAAAACACAAATATATGAATAAGTTAGGTTCTCCCATATCGAGGGTAAAAAAAGAGAGATCTTAAATGAGATTTTCCCCACTCAAGGTTTCCAGGAAAGGCAAAACAAAGGCTGTTCAGCTCTGTCCCTATTGAAGCTACCTAAAGTATATGTCTCTGGATGGAGCCATAATAATTCTGCAAAGAACTGTTCTACCACTATTGAGAAAAAATCAACTTTACTCCAGAACCGTGCCTATATCCATGGTCAGAAGCCTTCTTTTATAGTTCTAATGTCCTTTGTGAAATTAAAAAAGCCCCTCCCATGATACACAATTAGTGAAAATCAAAATTTAAAACAATATAGAAAAAACAAACCAATTTATAGGCCAAAAAAAGTCACTGATAAAAAGTGACAAAAGAGCAATATATTTTTAAATATTTTCAGCTATATTACAAGCACCTAAACTATTAAAAGCAAAATATAGTAAGAGAACATTCAGAAAGTCTATAGAGATGCTTATCTACCCACTAATTCAAGAAACATTTGAGCCACACATAGTAGTATGTGCCTGTAATCCTAGCACTCAAGAGGCTGAGGCAGGAGGATCATTCTGAGTTTGAGACCAGCCTGGGTTACAAAGTGATTGAGGCTAGTCTGAACTGCATAGCAAGACCCTGTCTCAAAAAGACAGAAAAGAAAAGAGAAGAAAAGAAAAGAAAAGATATTTGAGTATCCACCATGCACCTTATATAAAGTATTTGGTATTTATATTCCCCCCTTGTTACTTAAAACTTTGTCTCTGCCCATACACTATCCCAGACAAGAGGTGGGAGTTCTAAATACTTAAAACAATTTTTATGTGACTTCACAGTGTTATAGAGATAGAGGAATCAAGGAGGTCTTAGTGAAAATCTGAATTAAGATAAGAATCAGATATATAAAATCAGAGGACAGACTATTTTCATGTTAAGAAATCAGCATGAATGAAGGAAAAGATGTCAGCAATTATAGAATTACTTCTCTATTTTAGTGGTGACGTTGGCCCGAAGATTTTTTTCAAGTACTAGAGTAACTTACAGATGTCTTCTTTAAGCTTTTAATAGCTTTAGTTCTTATTTTCTGTCTTTGATACAGATAACTTTTAAAGAAATGCAATTCTCAGCCTATATACACAATAGGTTCTGTAGGTCACTATAAGCACCCTTCGACTCAGTCAGGATGGCAGATCTCACAGGGAAAAGAGAAATGAGCTTAGTCCGGTACAACTAACAGATTGGGAACCATGATCAGCCTCAAGCGCTAGGCCGAGGAATTGGCAATTGGAAAACATCAAAAAGGCAAAAAGCAGCAGAACCATCTCTTCAGGGCAGATCAGAAAGACTTGTTAGACTAGAGGTAAAACATTACAATATTATAAAAGACAAATCAGACCACAGGTAAACAGGATGAAGAGACAAGAAGTCAGGTAGATAGACAGAGATAGAGACTGATATAATATATATCACATTATATATAATCATTTTTAACATTAAGCAAGACATAAATAGGATGAGGAGATGGAAAGTGGTAAGAGGTCTTAGTGGAGCAAGATCAAGCAGTGGACCACAATAAGGTCACAAGGGGAAGGAGTCAAAGTGAAGACGTGACAGGTATACGGTGTCACTGACAGAAATTGAGCTCATGAAGAGAAATGTAATGCATCCTACCTAGAAATATTCTATTTGAGGTACTAGGAAGATAGATTGAAAAAAGAAGCTGAAAATGTGGGGGTGATGCCAAGAAAAGTCAACAAGGGCACAAAAGATCACGTGGCACCCACAAGGAACAGATTAGCAGCCAGAGACCAAGGAAACTGACAGGAGAAGAAAGGGCCTCTGAGTCAGAAGTAGGAGGAGACCCACTGATACACCCCAGCACTGGGCAGGAGTTCTGACCAGCACAGGAGTGGAAACTGAACACTGAGGGAGGACCTCAGGGCTTGATAAGTGTAAGATTACTGGGTTTTTAGCCCAGTTTAAGCAGGACATCGGGGTCTGATGGAGTCTCAGGATGCTAACGTGTATCAGCCCCCCGCCCAGTGATGTCCTAGGAAATAAAGGCGGCAAAATGGCAGCTTATAGAGAAAAGAATCAAGGAACACTTTATTTTTATTTTTTAGAAAAGAGAACTAGGCAAAGAGGGGCAAAGGAAGGGAGGCAAGTTAAGGAGCTCAAAGCTGCATGATCTAGTCTGTGCCGTTCGGTATAGTGACCACTAGCTACAGGTGCAAGGTGCAGTGAGTGTGGGAACTGGAATGTCAGCAAAACTCATGAATGTGGAGTGTAGAATTATGTAACTGGCCACTCCTCTGCAGTTGTCCTTTGCAAGGTTACTTCCTCTCCTGCCTAGCATTCTAAATTCTAAGCAGAAGCCACACCTAAATGAGTAAGACACTAACCGTTAAATAATCTTTCTTTATATTTACAGAACCCAGGTTTAATTAGAATTATGTCATGCTGCTCCTTATTCTTTAGTTCTGTGTGTCAACTAACAACAAACGTGTAAATTGCTATGAAAGTGCGATGTCTAAAGAACCACAGTGACTAGCCCCAGAGAGTTGAGGCCCCCTGAAATGTTCTGGGCAGAGAAGAACTACAAAAAAGGAGACACACATGTTGGATGACAATAACCCAGCCTCTCCATTATCTTACTGTGCCTCCTTTCCCTCTCTCTAAAAAACGGGTCACATACCTAAGTTCCTGAAAATGGAGCTTCGGGAAAAACAGCCCCACCACCTTCTCAGGGTGCCAGCCCTTGAACAAAACTTCCCGCCACCCACCAATTTCCCCACTAACTCTCGTCTCTCAAGTATTGGCTTTCAGGTGGTGAGTAGCCAAACTGGGTCTGGTAACAGTTTTTCAACTTTATACCCATAATAATGAATTTACTTTTTCTTAAAAACAAAATAAAGTACAAGGTTTGTCAGTGAATCTTGCTTTTGTCTACCCATAATGTTAAAGGCCCACTGAAGAGACCAAGCCATAACATCATAGATGAGACACGGATGAGCAGGATGGTTCACTGTGAGCTATCATGGCGCAAACAAGAAGATTAGAGGGGAGTGTGGAAAAATTGAAGATTCCTACAATTTCACGAACTTGGAGAGACTTTTCCTTAACAATGGCACGCCGGACAAACACTTCTCAATGCTGTTGGGGACAAAGTCCTTTCGTGATATCAATATCAAAACAGTGAGCACCAAATTATTAACTCTCCTTCTCTCCATACTGTTTACCTTATTTTCTAAATGAGACCACAGTATAGGAAACACTTTAGCAGCATGAGAAAAACAGAGGCTTTGTCTTCAAAATCATGGGGATCAAACACTAGCTCTGTCACTAACCAGCTGTGATAGGAAAGCAAGTTACTGAACTTCGCTGAGCCTGCTTCCTCATGGGCCAAGCATGGATGAGGGAGCTGTGGATGAAGGTCAAGTACATTCACCTTTCTACTTGGCACAGCGCAGTGTGTGATTTGCCCAGAGGCACTTCCTGATTGTTGAGGAGCTGCGGTCTTGAACCACTTGGGAGGGGATGCAAGTGTTCCTGGCTCTGCTCCAAGACCTGCCACACCGTCACTTCTCAACAAAACCAACATTCAATTTTATTCAGGACTGCTCAGAGTTATGTTCGCTTAACTCATGTTAAGCTGCCTTAACATTAGACTATAATGCTCAATTTCCAACTCTATCCAAGTAAGTTCTAGGCCTTACAGTACAGGCTAAACAAAAAGCAGAATGGAGAAAGAGTATCTATTTTCAATCTTCAGCCACTTGGAGCCATCTTGACAGCAGCCTTTCTGACTTATACACGGATTGTTCAATAGTAAGCCAGGCTGTACCATGTTCTGGTTTATTTTCTGGAGCATAATTAGTAATGATGATGATTAGTTCGGTAAGGAGAAGAAAATGCATGAGGCTGTTGCCCAAAGCTAACGATGAAACATTCTTTGCTCCTTTCATCATAAAGCTGAATGATGCAAATCCACTAGAGAA